AGTCAAAAGGGAAGAGATTGTTTAACATTTCTCAAGCTGAAAGAACAGAAGGAAAATTTAACCTCGACTTGCAATATTGATGGGTCCTATTGTGGCACTGTAAGATAAGAACTGGACAGCTAACCGTAGGTCAGTGGTTTAAATACAGGGCCACTATGAGTCAGGACTGACTTGACGGTGCTAAACAACAATAGGCAAACTACTGAACAATGCAGAACTTATCAAAAGAGAATGGAACATAGAGTCACTTTACCAAAAAGAAGTGGTCAACCATTTCAGGAGGTAGCCTGGGATCAAGAATGAGTAACAACGAAGGAAGAAATCTGCAGTGCAGGGAGAGCAACAGTGAAAAACAAGCTCCAGGAATGAGTGGAGTACAAGTGAAAATATTTCAATGAACTGATGTTAACAGATAGCACTCGCTTGTCTAAGACAAGAATTTGGGAATACAGTACCTGGCCAAAAGCCTGGAAGAGATCCATATATTTGTGCCTATTCCAAAGAAAGCGTGACTCAGCAGAGTGTGGAAATTATCTAGTAATTTCATTAATATCACATACAAGTAAAATTTTGCTAAAGCCAATTAAAAATGGTTACACCAGTACACATAGAAAAAGAGCTGTCAGAAATGCAAACTGAATTCAGAAGAGGACATGGAATGAGGGATACCACTGCTGATGTCGGGATTTTGACTGAAAGCAGAAAATATCTCTAAGATAACATTTCGAATAATGGATATTCGAAAACACTTCATTGTACTCATGACAAAACTGTATACAGACCAAGAGGCAGTCAGTCATTCAAACAGAACAAGGGGATATGAATGGTATAAAATCAGGATTGTATCCTTTTGCCATACTTATTTCAACCTGTATGCTAAGCAAATAATCCGAGAAGTTGGGTTATATGAAGAAAAAGGTGGCATCAGGATTGGGGGCAGACTCATTAACAACCTGAGATATACAGATGATACAACCTTGTTTGCCGAAAGTGAAGAGGACTTTAAATACTGTTGAAGATTAAAGACCAGAGCCTCAGTATAGATTATACCTAAATGTAAAGAAAACAAAAGTCCTCACAATTGGACCAATAAATAACATGGTAATGGAGAAAACATTGAAGCTGTCATAGACTTTAATTTGCTTGGATCCACAATCAATACACATGGAAGCAGCAGTCAAAAAGTCAGATGACATACTGCAGTAAGCAAATCTGTTGCTGTTCAAAAGAGCAAAGACGTCAGGTTGAGGACTAAGGTGCACCTGACCCAAGTCACGGGTTTTTATGGAAACTTTTATTGTGAAGTGAGTGATAGTTTACAAGGGAGAACATCAGTTTTGCACTCAACCAATCGTATTCTGTTTCACTGCAATGAGTACAATCCCCTCCATCACCTTCAGTTAACAGTATTTGTTTGCCTCTATTCCCTCTTTTTTTTTGTTTTAAATGTACAAAAACATGCAGGAATATACAGTTGTTTAAACAACCACAGGGCACATTTTGCAAGCCCACTTCCTGCCCTCAGCACACAGTCTTTCTCTTTCAATGAGTCTAGAGTCCTCAGGTGCTCTAGGCTCTTCATGCCACTATCTCTGCCTCCATTTCTGGTGTTGCTGTTTCTCTGGTTAGAATCCCAGTGTTACGATCATGCGGGTCCTACGGTCCTCTGTTTCTGAGATGTAAGATTAACTACTCCCCCCACCCCACAAGTCATGTTATTTTTAATCGCCTCAGATTAATGTGAAAGTTGAACATTCAATAAGGAAGACTGGAGAAGAGTGGATGCATTTGACTTATGGTGTTGGCAAATAATACTCAAAGTACCATGGACTGCCAAAAGGGTGAATTAATCTGTATTGGAAGGAGTACAGCCAGAATGCACCTTAGAAATGAGGAAGGCAAGATGTCGTCTCGAACTATGGACATATTATCAGGTGGGACCACTCCCTGAAGAAAGACATCATGCTTGGAAAAATGGAGGGTTAGTAAAAAAAAAGGAAGACCGCAACAAGATGGACTGATAAAATGGCGGCAACAATGGGATCAAACACAACAACAACTGTGAGGATGATACAGAACAGAACAGTGATTCTGACTGTTGTGCACAGCGTCACTATGTGTCAGAACTGACAAGACAGCACCCAACAAGTCTTTGCCAAACTGTTTACATTCTTTCTTGGTTCTGTAAATGTTTCAGTCTTTTTTACATGTCATTTATAAAACTGAACACATATTCAAAAGCCCTCTAAGAGTTCTGCAGCATTGTGTTTTGGAATTAACCCGTTGTTGTTAATTTCAACTCATAGCTCTGCCTGGAAGGATTTAGGAAAGCCAATTGCCACGTCTTTCTCCCATAAAGTTGACTAGTGGGTTCAAACAACCAACCTTTCAGCCAGCTGCCGAGTTGCTTAACTACTGTGTCACTAAGACGCCTATGATCCTGCTCTATGACAACCAATTCTTTCATGTTATTTAAAGGGCTAGAATAACAGTAACTTCCTTTATTTTTCTGAAAACGAAACTGTCAAAAAAGGAAATCTAATTTTTTTCATATGCTTGGATTTTAGTTAAACGAAATTTCCAGTAGAAACCTAGAAGTTTAAGATTTCTATTGCCACTAATTCTTGCCTTGACGTATATTGTGAAGTGTCAAGATGTAGCATTTCCTTCAATTGGTAAATGCATTTGCAGATATTCACATCATGATAATACTTGTTTAATCCTCACCCATGTGATCTCACAAATTGCAGACAGGCCACATTTTATATTATTGGAGGCAGACAGCACAAATATCTCACCTAGACATAAAGATCAAGGACTAGGACCGAATTGCTAGAACCACAGTATTAGGAACAGAACGAACTTCTCAGATAATTAATATACTGCCATAAGTTGTTGTTGTTGCTAAGTGTCCTCAAACTGGTTCTAACTTAGAGATCCTAGGGTTTCTAAGACCACACACATTTATTTATGGGAACAGAAAGTCTCATCATTCTCTCACAGAGGAGCTGGTAGATTAGAACTGTTGACCTTGTGACTAGCCGCCGTCAGGGTCACCAGCACTTGTTTTAGAGGTAACCCTCTAACTTAAGAAAGCTAAGTGACTTGACCAAGGTCACATGAAGATACACTGCTTTCTTTCTTTCCTATTTCATGGATTTTTAAAGTCAGTACATTAAATATAAGATGTAAAAATTCTACTTTTTCACTAATTAGGAATGGAAGAAAGGACATTGTTGGCTTAGCAACAACAACAAAAAGATATAAATGAAAAACTAAAAAACCTTCCATCATATTATTGTCTAATACAATGTACAAATATTACTAAAAATGTAACATTAACAAATAAATTTAATACAATTTACAATATACCAAGATTTCTGTATGTTTATTTTACACTAGAAGCCCCTTACCTTAATCCCTAAAAATTTAAGGAAAACATTATTTTACTGGTAAGAAAACAAATCTGGGGCTGTCAGGAGATGGGATGAGCAGACGGGTGGTCTAAAAGGTCTGAGAAACATTTTTTGCTTGTGGTTAAAAATAGGTATGCGATTGTAAAACTTCAACATAAATGTACAGAAAAGGATTCATTTTATTATAAGTAAATGATACTTCAAAAGACCTAACCTTAAAACAAAACAAAACAAAAACACCCAAAATTTGTACTAAATGAGAATTTCACATAAACTGGAAGATATACTAGAATACTGAGTTAGAATGGAGCTACTACTGTGTAATTCTCAAAATAGAAATATGCAAGTATTTAGATTTTTATTTATATATTTATGAAGCAGACCAGAAACACGTAATCCATAAAAAAAAGGTATGTTTTTTTAAAAAGGTAACTCACCGTCTCATTTCCAAAAATGATGTCAATATAAGGCAGGACTTTCATCAATGGCTCCTTGTAGAACTGGCTAATAAATGGTGCAGACAGATTCAAAATGAAAATTTTGTTGTTTTCAGAAGCATGGCGTGCCACTTTTAATATTGATTCTGGGGAAACCGTAAGAAAAAAGCCCTGGATAAAAAATAAAAAGGATAATTTAGAAATTCCAGTTCCACAGAATCACATTCAGTGAGAATAAAAATAACTTATACAAAATATGGCACTGTGGGCTATGTCAGATTGCAAAGTCATTTGAACTGCAAGGTCAGTAGTTCAAGCTCATCAGCTGCTCCTTTGAAACCCTCTGCAGAGTTGCAATCAACTCAAGGGCACTTAACAACAACAAGAACAACAATAAAATTACAAAATGCATGACAAACAATAGCAGAACATGACTACAAATAAACTAAAATGGTTGTTGTACCGACTCATAGTGAATGAAACACTGCCCGATCCTGGGCCAACCTCACTACTGTTGCCACGCTTGAGCCCATTGATGCTGCCACTTTGCCAAACCATCTCG